GCAAAATGAGGATTGTCCCCCAAAACCTTGTTTTGAGTAATCAACGCCTTAAGTCGGATACAGTAGAAAAATCATGTCAAAATTGATATTGATTGTTTTTTTTGGTATTTTTGAGTAGTCAAGGTATCCAAGATTCACACTATGCATTTATATAAAAAAATACCCGCAAAAGTGGAAAACTGAAGAACGTTTATCAATGCTTTTGGCAGCGCAATGTGTATCTTTTTTTTTCAAAGCCTTTTTTTTTCGAAATGAGTTTGGCGAAGATTGGCGGGACACTGTTAAAGTTCCTGCGGCATATCTTTGGAATTCAGCTACAGAAATAAATTTGGCGTCATTGGAAGGCCAATGATTTGCGCTTTAACATGATGTACATAACTTGAAAAGTCAAAGGTGGGGGTTATTCCTCATTATGCTGTGGCAGGTCACAAATATTTTTGTAATCACATTATTTACAATTTCCTTTATTTGTTTGAAAAAACTGTACATTGTCGGCAGTCCTGAACCTGAATCACATACAAGATGTACATGAGTAACTTTTAGTATTGAAAATGTGGAAGGCTGCTTACTGACTTTGTATGCAGTAAAAGAAATACATGTATGTGGGATGGCCAGGTTTTTCTCATTGAATCCTGAAAATACTAAATAGAAACTTGTCGTGCAGTTATCTGATTTTTTTTTCCACAGGCATAAAAAGAAACCATACGAGACTGAAATTTGACTTCAGTTTACAATCGACGAACATTGTTTGAATTCTTTTGCTTTGTTCTTTTAGGACCATGGAGGTGTCATCATCAATATATCTGCAACACTGTTTTATAGAGGCCAGCTTTTTCAGATCCATGCCAGTGCAGCGAAAGCAGCAATTGGTAAGTATCAGGGATCATACTCGGATGTGATTTCTCCGGTTTTCCCCAGAAATCCGGGTTTTTTTTTGGGGGGGGGGGGCCTCAAAAGTCAACCCATGTGAATCGTGTGAATCTGTTGAAAAAATGGGGGGGGGGGTAGAATGTACTTATTTATTATTCATATCGGGTTTTGCTTGCTGAAATTTACTTACGTACATGTACATTACTTCGATCTTATATGAACTACGTGCATGTGTCCCATGAGAACGTGGTTGAAGTAGATCGATGGAGACCGATTATTTACACATGCGTAGTGGGATATGTGTTATGATCGCTCGGGTCCGAGGATGTGATTCTGAAAGTTGCGATGCTGAAAAGCACGTGCTGTTTTGCGCTGTGCAGTTCCAGCGCGACATGTGTACACGTACATTATTGTACAAAAATGAACCCTGAACTGTACGTTACGCCAAAAATAATAAATAGCTGGAAAAGTTTGACTCAAAGCTTCTAAAGTTATTCTCAAATTGCCTGAGAATGCAGGAGAAAGTAACTTAGATTTCAAAACGTTACGGGGGTGGGGGGATGCCCAAGAATAGCAATCCGGAGGTAGCTGGTCAATTTCTTTTATCTAAATTTTTTTTTTAAAAACCTTTTAATTTCTTTAAACCATAAAAGTTTAATTAGGCAATACTTCACCAGCCTTATCAATTTTGGTTTGTCTTTGTGTTTTTTATCCAGACTCCATGACGATGACACTGTGCAATGAGTGGGGACCTCAGGGCATCCGTGTGGTGGGCATAGCTCCAGGACCTATTGCTGACACTGAGGGCATAAGGCGGCTAGGTAAAATGCAGGATTTTCAAAATGAATGTACAGTCTACATACAAAAAAAAGTTGGTAAACGGCAAAACCCAATGTTGAATTAACTTAAAAAGTTCTCACATACATTGTTAATTTTTTTATTATGATCATTGCACAGTATCATTCTAATTGTAAACATTAAACACTTGCTGCTGGGGTGCTGTGGTCCAGTGGTTACGGTTTTTTTACTCCTGTGCCGTGGTACATGGGTTCGAATCCTGACCGTGGGACCGTTCGAATCCTGGGAACATGGTGCTTGTGCTCTTGAGCAAGGCACTTTACCATTATTGCTTCGTCCTTCGGATGCACGTTAAAGAACCCAGTAACACTTATTGCTAAGAGAAGGGGTTTGCCCTGGTGTTTCTGGCAGTGGCTACTATAATAACCCTTTTAAGGTGCTACATAATGGATCTCGTATTTCTCATAAACTTTATTTACCTTTCTATAGCCCTAACAGTCCTGAATCCTCCAAATTTAATACGATTTTGCATACCCCCTATGGAGGTAGGGTTAATAATAGACATAATTTACAGCGCCTTGAGTACCTAATTATTGGTAGATACGTGCGCTATATAAGACTCCGGTATTATTATTATTATTATTAAAACTTGACCTCGTTGTTAATCAGTTCAAAAGAGTCCTTTAAAGAGACACTAATTTTCATCATGATTGAACTAATTTTGCTAAGAGTTGTAAAGTTTTTAATAAAATTATAAAGTTTCAATACTTATAAAGTTTCTGCAGAGAAACGTTCACATCATGTTTCAAACCAGTCTGGTAAAACGCTGGCCCCATTTGATTGAGTGAAGGGAGGTATGACATCACATACATTGCTGTGACATAAGTTTCTTCATTTGCCGATATTTCTTTGGTCAAAATAAGGTTGCCAAAGATGGAAATTGATATTTTTTTATCTTGGCCAATGTACCAATGAAAACTAGGAGTGATATGTATACAAACCAACTCTTTCAAAATCTCAAAATCTCTGATGAGATTTAAATGTCCATGGGTTCTTTTTCCATTGAACAGTTTTTGAAGCTATTTCAAGAATTTGCCTGGCTTGAATGCGTCCTTCTTTTCTCCCAGGTGCAGGTATGTTTGATGAAGAGGTACTGAGGAACTTTCCCCTCCAGCGGATGGGTACCAAGCGGGACGTTGGCGATTGTGCCGTCTTCGCAGCCAGCCCAGCTGCCAATTACATCTCAGGCCACACCATCGTGGTGGACGGCGGGCACTGGATGACCTGTGACAACAACTTCAGCTTCTACAGTAAACAGATGGGAGCCAAACTGTAGAGTGGACTTCAGTATTCATCTTAAATAACACATCCCTGTTTATGTACATACCAAGTTTCAAGAGCAATTATATGATGGCTAAAAATAATGCTTGTGCTTGTCCAATGACTCCTAGTGTCACTTGTGAGACGAGCAGTGCTATCATATAGTTTAAAGGTACAGTCCATAATTTGCAGCTATCCGAAAAGTAACTGAAGTAATTATTATTGAAAAGCATACTTGGTTTAAAGACTAAACTCCCTGTGAAATTATTCTTTCTGGCTAGCTGTCATTTTGAAGAAATCAATTGAAAGAAGGTCATTTCCAACAATGTGTCTAAAAGACGCATTCTTGGAAATTTCCGTTAGTAATTTGTTTTTAATTCGGCGAAGCGCGCGCAGGTGTTGAGAACCTGTCTCGGACGCTGAATTCAGGCCCAATTTAAAACGTGACTCGGCCACTTTTGATTTGAAATCGCTATCCTAGAATATTGTTTTCTCGGAATATACAGGTTCACTGAGCTGAAGCTTCATCGGGTTAGCTGTTGAGTACCCTTGCTTAGATTTTGAGCACTTTTGTTGCCTCAAACGAACAGAATTCACAAGGTACAAATGATTGATGCTACCTTTAAAGTCTGGTTTTAGTGGTTGACCTTTACTTGCTACAAACCCTCATGTGCAAGGGCCCCAAAATTCCATATATTTAAAGAGAGAACTGATGGCAACAAACGGTGATTTTGCGAGACTTGATGACAAGTCGTTAGATGGTCATATTTGTCTGTGAACTTCAGTCGAAATCCATCGGCTCGGCTTGTATAAGACTAGTACGTAATCGGCCGGGTTGCGACAAATCTAACGACTTGACGATTATGTTCTCGCACCGTTATTCATATATGCAAGCAGCGCAATACATATGCAGTGCATTTTTGCGGTGAGATCCAATCGCACACCGCTATGCAAATGAGGACTCATTCATTTCATTGCATGGGGAGTTCTTCTCAATATGTCAGGGACATGTTTGCAGATCTGGCAACGTTTTAAAGACCAATTCACTCAGCTTGGTCAATTTTGTATAGAAATAAAATGTATCGTTGTGATATACTTGATTTATTTGAGTCGTGTATGCCCTATAATGAGTTTTGTAATGTTACACAACACAAAGTACAAACCCTCGAGGTAATGAGAACGATCTTACGTGGCGGCCTAGAATACGCTCTGGAATCTGAACCAATCAGAGTGCTCGCATAGAATTCGCTAGCGATTCAAAGTACTCCCATATGTTGTGTACAAAATAGAAAATGTATTTGCCAAGTCGGTAATTGAACATTAATATAGTCAGCAGTATTTGGTCTGGGAACCAATCTACGCGCATTGCAGCGATAAAGATAAGGGCGTGTGTGGAGCGAGTAACCGGTTTTATTATGTCTGTGCCGGTACGCAAAACAATTACCAACTTGGCACCAAGTCTATGATTTTGCTGGCGTATGCATTTTGTTTTGGCGGTTATTTTTTTTTGCTCATTTAATTTTTATTTAACCTTCTTGTTTGCCAATCCCTTGTCAATCCAGCCATTTTAAAGCGATAATACTATATTTTAATAATTTGTAGATTTTGACTTATATTGAAGCTTTCTTAAAAAAAAAAGGGAATCTCTTAGAATAGTTTGGACAGAGAACCACGACTGTCGACAGTTTGCCATATATTTGCCATATTATTTCATTATTTCCATGCTTTCACGACAGAATTCTTTAATAATAGCTTATAAATATATTGTCTGAAATCCAGTGACATTTTTTTTTACATTTACTTTGCAAAAGCTGATCATCCTTATTATTTAACATAAGAGGCAAATTACATGTACTTGTTTGTTCACGAAGGAGCACTTGGGTCATCTGCCCAATTACAAAGAGGAAACAATGAAATCAAAATATGTTTCTTTTTTGCGCGTGAGGCCCCATTTTTTTTAAACGAATGGCCCCGCCCTTAAAAGGGAGCATCAGGTGGATTTGCACTTGTTCAGGAAGTGATAAGTCCGCTGCATTCCTGCAGTACCAGGCCAGCCGGCCAGCCGGCCGGCCGGCTGGTGATACGTATCGGTAACATCAGTGATCCGTGCCCGGCCCCTGCACCGCGGGTCATGAGGTCGAAGTACATCCTTTTTATCTAGCTGCCAACATAAGAGCTTGTCAATTTAGGTAGTGTGAGCTGATATTAAGCAGAGATTAGTGGTTCCCACATTAATACACCATATAAATGTTGGGGGAAAATGGCCGGTACCAAAGCCAGCGACTTTGATTTCGATGTTTGCATGCCGACGTATGACTATGTTTTTCAACCTGATGTGTTGCGGTATGTATTAAATTACGTGTACACAATACTTAGCTCTACCATGGAGGAAGAAATCCTCCATGGTAGCAGTAAAATATCTGGAAATATTGCTGAAACATTATCAGACCTAGACCCGTGAACGTGGCGTTGATTAGACCATGGAGGTATGATTAGACCTACTACATTACAGATGAGAGGGTTTATTTAAGCTAGGTTTTCCCTAGCCCCATAAATGTGGCCTATTTACTGGACTGCCTCCGTAAACATAGGCCACACATCCACATGTACAAAAATCGTGTCGACTTTGCCAAATTTTGATTTTCACATTTAGGCTTAGTTTGTAGGATTTTTTTGCTTTAGAAGCATACTCACCCTCTTTATAGGCTAGTCAGAAAGTGCTGCCTTTTTCAGATGTCTAATTTTTGTGAAATTTCATGTTGAAATTTTGATACGCAAACGTGTAAAAATGAATCTGGAAATTTCACGAAAAATATACATCTGAAAAAGGCAGCACTTTCTGATTAGCCTATAAAGAGGGTGAGTATGCTTCTAAAGCAAAAAAACCCTACAAACTAAGCCTAAATGTGAAAATCAAAATTTGGCAAAGTCGACACGATTTTTGTACATGTGGATGTGTGGCCTATGTTTACGGAGGCAGTCCAGTAAATAGGCCACATTTATGGGGCTAGGTTTTCCCAAGCTATATGAAATTGAAGGATTAATTTTGAAATTTTACCTCCTTGTTTTTTAAAAAGCAATTGGGGGGGGGGGGGGGGGGGGGGGCGCAGACGACCGACCCAGCTATAATGGGCTCCATCATGAACAAAGAAGCAATTTGCCGCTTTAGGGGGCGGGGCCACATTTTTTAAAAGTGGGGATGATGATGATGATTTTTATGGGGGGCCACCATATATTACACTAGAGGGTGCTGTTCATGATATTTATGCACTTATGCAAATTTGCAAACTTATGCAAATTATTAACCCTACATCAAAACTTGCCACCCTGTCAAAAGGGGGGGGGGATATATAGCCCCACCCCATTTCCCCCTCCCTTCCTCCTGGGATTTACGCCCATGCTGGCAACATCCTTCCCGGTACATGCCGTACTGTACATATTTTAATAAAAGTTGGCCCCCCCCAAAAATTTTTTTACTAAAAGTAAAAAAATGCTGCACTTTTCCTGTCCTTCCCCCCCCCCCCCCTTTTCTCCCCTTCCCCCTGCCTCCCCTCGAACTCCCTTGTGAAATAAAAAAATATTACTGATCTGCTGAATTAAGGTGTAGATATCAGGCCACACCCGAGCGCCCCTAGAGACTTCCTGTCCCCCCCTTCCCCCACCCCACTTTGCAAGCTGATCCCCCACCCCCTCCGAGGTCACAACCTGTACCCCTGCTCACCACCCTGATCTCTAAAATTTCATTTGGCTGCACTGTATATATACTTCCTTCTTTTTTTTTTAGAGAAGTGTGTGATACTGTGGCGGATTTTACTATTGCCAGGTCGGTTGTCCTCGGCGAACACTCGCGGGTAAGGCGAGTAACCCTAACAGCGTCGAGGTGCAGGTCCGTTTGGTTGGAAATATACCACCACGTATACTCAGTCTACTCACTGATCGCTGACTTCCAGACAGACAATACAGACTGACAAACATGTACAAATGACTGTGACGCAATGACAAAAGAAAGAAGGTTTCACTGATTTATTTAATTAGATCGATTATTATGATTAGAGTGATTTACTTGTATACGCCCTAAATAGCGCCTCAATGGAGTGTTATGGCGCCTCTAGTGGGTGTTATAGCGCCTCTAGTGAGTGTATAGCGCCTCCCGCCACTAGTTTGCACTTATCCACCACGCAAGTGCCGCATTTATGAGCTTCTAAATGTCGCGCACAGTTGTTCCCTCGGCAACGCCTCTCGTCTCCTCGGGCCTCAAAGGGGTAGGCTCCTCGTGAGCCTGGCTTATATGGAGCGTGTAACTCCTCGATGGGTCCTTACGCCTCCACTGGTACCTACAGCAGCCCTGCGCCTCAGTGCTCGGACCGACGCCTCAGTAGATGTACGCTCGCTAGCGTACGTCGTCCCTCGAGGCGTCCGGCCAACAGTCGCGCCTATGGCTCCGCTATATGCCCCACGCTAAAGGTAGGTAGGCACATATACTTACTGCAGTACGCCCTTTCGCCTCCTTGGATTGACGCTCCGGTAGGCTTGGTTGGTCCTTCCAGCACAAGTAGCGTTCACCAACTGACTACCCCGCTGGCGGCGACAAACTAATCGCGCGTCTATAGCTTTCTATGGCGCGCCATGTCAAAACAAATTATGTCAATTGCTCAAATGTTACACAGCTTCCTTCTAAGCCTGAACGTCCCGTTCAGAATCAGCTGACACAAATCACTACAAACATTAGCAATTGCTACTTAATTATGCACAAAGAAAATTAGCAGGCAAAAAGTAACACTCAAAACTTATTTATTCAAAATGATCGGCTTCTAAATACAACATGGCGACGTCTCAAAATTATCTCACTTTTTCGCCATCAATAATTTAAGTGGACTAACATCAAGTGCCCCATGTCGCCTCATAGTGTCTCATAACTTAGGACACTGTTTCCTCATAAATTTAGTTTATCAAAACGTTATATAAACGAGGCAAGTCTCTGACCAACAATTTTTAGGGAACAATCTATTCTACAAAACATTTCTTTCCTTTTTAAATAGTAACTTCAACAAAACAAGTGGAAATCGAAGATCTGCAACATCTGGTAGGGTTGGCCTTGAAGACTATTTCTTCTCGAATAGCTGGTCAAAGTTGACTTCATAGATTCGCTCTACCCGGGTTTCGCTGACTTTGGTCCCATCCTGGAAGGTTGTCTGAGTGCTAATTTCTGTAACTCTGGTGACGTGACCTCGGAGGACATCTTGTAGGGCCATTGGTTCTACCGGCCGGAACTGCGGTTCTCTTGGTTCCGCGTTGGGGCGTGACTCGGTTTCCGACGAGTCCTCGGGATGGCTGCTGGCTTCATCCTCTGCTTTTTCCTGGCGCATCCTCTCTAACAATGCCAGGGGTTTGCCACTTGTCCTAGGTGGCCCACGAGGAGTCGCTGTTTCCTCTATCACCAGCGACAAAGAAGCAGGTGACAACGAGATTTCGGCAGGGGCACTGGACGCTTGGGGGCATGTCAGATTCAAGGGTTCCTCCAGGACGTGCCCAAAGTCCTCGACGGTGCAAGGAGATTCCACTGGCGTGTCAGCCACTCTCCTTCGCTTCACCTCCGTGTGCGGTTGCTCCTCTGGGCACTTGCTGCAAGCCGCCGGTGCTCTCGCCCGTTTCTCCTTTCGCAGCATCTCTCCCACCTCTTCCCAACTGGTGGCGTCTCCAAGATCGCGTTCGGTATGTGCGCTGCTAACCCTCTTTGGTGGGTTACGGTGATGTGTTGTCCCTCCTGATGTTGTCTCTTTGCGTTTGCGGTCCTTCCTTTCTGTTTCCGTCTCCAGCAAGATTGATTCCACTTCAGTAAGTTGATTTGGATGTTCCTGACGGTAGTGCCTCCTCATGTTATCTTTCCTGTTGCAATAGAAGTCGCATTGCAAACACCAGCAATACAACTTTGGACCATGCGCTATCTGCATGTGTCGGTAGAGGCTCCTCCTCTGGTTGAACTTCTCCTCATACTCCTCACAGGCAAAGGTTCTCTTCTCCTGCCGTCTGGGCTTCTCCATTGTTCGACTGCAATGGGGGAAACACACAAAAACACAAAATAAGTTGCAATCAAATATAAACACTATAGTTCTGCTTTCTCCATGCAGCTATTTACAGTCCTTATTCTTTCTCTCTCTCTTTCTCTCTTGGCAATCCTATCGGAAACGGCAAGGTAACTTCCGTATCCTAGCCGGGTTACGTCTCGGAAGCGCTGTGCCGTTGTTCTGGTCACTCTCCTCCATCACTGGTGGTTCAGGGGCCAAGTTGTTGGAAGCTTCGGAGCTTCCTTCTAAGTTTCCACCCCCAATGGAATCCTGAACTGGAGTCACCTCTGGCTTATCTCGATTATTAGCCTCATGCAACGGTACTGCCTGGTCACCATGGGTCACGCCTTCATTTGCTACCTCCTTCCTTGGGCGGTGCTCCCAAGGTTGTAGTTGTGGACCCTGGTAGGGTTTCAGTCGATCAAAGTGCACTACTTGCATCTTTCCCCTAGGCTTCTTCTGGATCCTGTAAGTTACGTCCGACAATTTCGTGAGTATCAGATATGGGCCTTCCCAACGAGATGTTAGCTTGGGGGAAACTCCCTTCTTCTTAGCATGGACGTACAACCATGCAAATTGGCCTTCCTCGAGACCAGTTCCTGCCGTTCTCTTATCGTATGTCTTCTTCTGATGTCTCGCACTGGTCCCAAGCTTCTGCCTCGCCCGGTCGTGGGCAGTTTGCATTTGATGGCGTAGGTTTTCCGCATAGTCCGTATTGGGACCCCTGCCCTCCACTGCAATCGTTTGCGTGGTAAGGTCAGCTGGCAGCCTGACTTCTCTCCCAAGCATGAGCATATTAGGAGTTTCTCCTGTTGACTCCTGGGGAACAGACCGGTACGCACATGTAGCAAACGCCAACTGTTTATCCCAATCCTTTTGGTGCTTGGTAGGGTCTATCATCATTGAAACAGTGTTTAGTAAGGTCCGATTAAATCGCTCCACAAGCCCGTCGGATTTCGGGTTGTAGGCCACTGTTCGGGTTTTCTCAATTCCAAGGATCTTGCACATCTCTGCAAATACTTCTGATTCAAAATTCCTTCCTTGGTCTGAGTGTAGTTCGCGCGGAACTCCGAATCTGCACACAAAATTCTCCACGAAGGCCTTTGCCACTGTCTCTGCAGTGCTGTCCGGAAGGGCATATGACTCCATCCATTTCGTGAAGTATTCCCCTATTACGAGGATCCACTTGTTTCCGCTTTCACTCTCCGGTAATGGTCCAACGAGGTCCAAAGCAACCCGGTCCATGGGCATGTCCACCTGGTGTTGTTGAAGAGGTGC